TATATATATATATATATATATATATATATATATATATATATATATATATATATATATATATATATATATATATATAATAGTATAAAGGCATATAAAGCAGAATTATTGGGACTATTTTGGGACTATTGGGAATTACCTGGACGTTGGAGATCATTATTTTATTAACATGATCAGTAAAGTCTTTGCACATGTCTTCAACCTGACCAAAAACACAAAACTTGTAAAACTGTTCCTAATCAAATTATTACAAAAGTATACAATCTAACAATTATCAGATTTGCAAAATGCAATTAACCAGCTTCAAACATTCAATGAAAATAATCAGCTGTAATTAACAGAGACATTTGCAGTAACTGTTTCAGTGTTTTCAAGAGAGATGAAGACACGGCTTATCTCTATCACATCTGTCAGTAATAGGGCGTTTTAGAAGACGGAGTCTCTTTGAACTGTGTGTGTTCTATGTAAACAGGTAGATCTATATTTAAAGTGATTCAATCTTCTGTTCATTCAGGTTGTGGCTTTATGTGCAACTTTAATTAAGTCACATGAGTCAGTGCGGCAAACATGCATTAACTTGCAAACCATAGACAGTAAAATGTGTGTGTATGCAAGTGTGAGAGGGTGGAAACCGCTCATTTTTAATTTATTTACATTTTTTGGTAAAGGAAGAATGGTTAATTATTAGTGTGGTTCTCTAAACTTGTTTATCCAAATAACCAATCTCTCTGTTGCACAGTTCCTCATTCCCTTCTGCTCCACCATTCCCTACAAACCTGAACTTGTTTTTATAATTGACGGACATTTTACAGTTTGAGCTGAACTGACTTGAACTATATTGCACTATTGTCTTGTCAGAGCTGCTTTATTACTCCACCTTAACCCCTGAAATGAGTTCAACAAGAACAACAAAATACCAAAAACATACAAACGCATTGCCAAACAGTGATCTAGTAGCCTAATGTAACGGGTCAGTCGATGGCACTTGAACTGGAAATCAGTTCAAATAATGTAGAATCAGTGCATACAAACAAGCACAGAGTGTACCGGCATAAAATGGGTTGCAGACAGTAAAGAAAAACAATGTTAAATGCAAATAACATTTAATTGAGCATAGGCCTACTTGCAAAATAAATCAGCATATTACTAGTAGGCTATAGCCTACTTCAAAAAAAGTAAATTTAGGGTTGCCAGCAACAATATTTGTATTCACGTGGTCAAATTCAAGAGACATTTAATATCCATACTCTGGCACTTGATGTCCGATGTAAAATCTGTGTCCAGAAGCAAAACCACAACCCTCTGGTGGATCATTAATAGTTTTCAAGTCAAAGTGCATGAAGGGACAACAAACACATAGGCCTACACACAGAGCTTTATTTGAGTGAGGAGGACATCTCATAGACTTGTACTGTTTTCATAGCCGGCTAAGGCTGTACAGACACAAATACACACAAGTAGGCTACCATATGATACCATGGTATCACCACAACTTTGGTCTTTGACCATTTATGCCCAGCAGATGGAGCATTGAACTCAACAAGATGTCTGACACACACACACACACACACACACACTCTCAATTTATATTGTTAGAGGCTCGCAGCAGGGCTGGCTGATCATTCTTGACGGGCAGATGGATCACCGCTCGGATCGACTCCTCTGAACGGAATATCTCGGCTCTGTTCGCTCAGGTAAAGCGGGTTTCCCTCTTCTCGTGCCGTGACGGGTCTGTACGTGTGTTTGAGCCGCTGATCTCACTGAACCATTCAGAATTGCATATGCAGCGTTCCCGTTTTCCATACGAATTCTTCTCATGCTCCTTTTGCACGGTTTCCCGAAGACACCGAAGTTGCGCTATTGAGATCGCAAACTGATCGTCTTCACTCGTAAAACACGACAAATGAACATTATATGCAGAACAACAGGAGTTTTAAGATTCAACACTTTTAGACAGTGACATTTATTGTGTAAAATGCGTTATTAAATGCGAGCTGTCATCTGCAACATCTCCATATGGCCTATAAAGAAATAAAATCCTGTAAAGAAAATAGTAAAACTATAGAAACACATTTCAGTAAAATCCAGTAAAAATATATATAGTTATTAGAAATGTAATCTTTGTATTATTGTTGGTTTCATACATGCATACATACATATACAGTATATACAAACACTCTCTCTCAGTTTATTATTGTTAGAGTCTGATCATTCTTCAGTGGTATAATCTCAAAGAGGGGTAAAAAAAATAAAATATAACTTTTTATTTGAGCAAAACATGCCTTTTTATATAAATATATGAACTAATGAACTTTTAAATATATGAACTTGATGACCTTGAGACACTGTGATGAGGGCCTTCAAGGGTGTTTTATAGTTTTCTATAAAACTTACAAAATGTCTCTTCATTTCAGAATCCTAAAACATGTTCATTATAAAAGAGTGTGCATTCAAATAATTGTTTAAATTGCATTTTTGTATTGTTTTAGTCTTCACTAGTTCATTTCAATAATCCTGCGGTGTGACCAATTTTGACAGTATCACTGTCATGTCGTCTCTCCTTTAAAATGAGGCCATAAAACAGCATGAATAATAATTACACAAAAAGTACTAGTTTTAGATGGAATAAGGTATGTCACACTGCAAGAGACTGCTGTCATTAGAACCACAGGGGTTATAATTAAACGATAACAACAGCAAAAAAGGTGACAAAAATTGGTGTGATATCACATTTAGAAAATGTCAGTGCATATTTGTTCTCATCTCAGTATTTGGAGTTTAGCTGCAGAGGAGTGAGGGTGTAGTCCAGGATGTGGTTTAATGCTCTCTGGCGGATTTAAACATCTGCTCAGTTCATCAGCCGTGCATGTTTGTATGTGCACTTCAGATTTAGTTTAATATGAAAATTTGATGTTTATCTGCTTACCCCCAGGGCATCCAAGATGTAGGTGACTTTGTTTCTTCAGTAGAACACATATGATGATTTTTAACTCCAGCTGTTGCAGTCTATCAGTCGTATAATGCATGGCAATGGTAACAAAATCTATGAGAGTAAAAAAACCATGCACAGACAAATCCAAATTAAACCCTGCGCCTCGTGACGACACATTGATGTCCTAAGACACGAAACGATCGGTTTGTGCGAGAAACCGAACAGTATTTATATCATATTTTACCTCTAATACACCACTATGTCCAACTGTCTTTGAGCCCGCTCACGGCATCTGATGCGCGAGGTGTGTACGTGCTCTGGCGTAGTTTACGTTAATGGGTGTGTTGATATCCAGCCGAAGAGCAATCAACCATAACTTCAGGCGAGCAG